AGCGGTGGGAGGTGAGTAGAAAGCAGACTTCTAAAACACAGATGAGTGATAAGATGTGATTCCAGGGGGAGGGGGGGGGGGGAGAGAGAAAGAGAGAGAGAGAGAAAGAGAGAGAAAGAGAGAGAAAGAGAGAGAGAGAGAGAGAGAGAGAGAGAGAGAGAGAGAGAGAGAGAGAGAGAGAGAGAGAGAGAGAGAGAGAGAGAGAGAGAGAGAGAGAAGGGACGGCATCAGGTCACTGTCGTTACAAAGTAGAGCATTGACGCACAATATACTCCTGCTCAAAACGCTGCCGCCATTATCGTCCTTACCTGGAATACGGACTCTATCTTGTCCTCAGTCAGCTCTGCAGCCAACAGCAACAACAACAACGACAACAACAACAACAACAACAACAACAACGGTGGTGATAACGCGATGACAACTTCAACCAAGATCAATGTGAGGTAGTTATTTGAGTATCGTTCTGTGAAGGTTTGTACTCCAGAAAATACAGTAAACTGCTCAACCAATGAAAGTACAAAAATGAGACCATTAAATCTCAAATATGCAAATTGTACCTGCCAGACCAAACCTCATGGCACACGTTTGTGTACAAGCGATCTCAGTATGAGCACTGCAGAGGTGAAAGACGAGGAAAAATTCACAGCTGACAAGAACTTTACTCACTTGTGGATCCGCCATACTGGCAGAAGTCTCCGTAGTACGTGTCGTAGCATAGACAAACGTAGTTAGTGCCCCCTGCAGGTATGCACTGCCCATTGCCACTGCACGGCTGGCTGCTGCAGCCTAGAGGAATATCAGATATTTATTCACATGTAGTCGGACACATACATGTCAGCATTTTGCCCCTCCTCATGTACGTAAACATCAACACAACATATCCACACACACACACAGAAGTGTGCATAGGGACAAACAAACACAAACACGAACATTTTCTTTAGCAGGACGCGAATTGTTTTTGGGGTTTCGGACAGCCCGTCGAAAATAAAGAAATTGTCTTGGGCAACACGTTTACAGCTCCATTGCCTTCTGCAATCACGCCACAAACCCTGCCCCTGGATGACTCCATCACTGAAAGCAGCTATTAAAGTCAAGAGCGATCTCTACAGCATCTACCGGAAATACCCATCCCCTACAAATTTCAACAAATACAAACACCAACGTAACTATGTAAAATGCCTTTCCAGATCCTGCCATCGCTGCTACATCCGCAACCTCCGTGCCACGATATCTCCCACAAACCCTCGCCTCCCATCCCTCCCTGTGCTCATTCGTCAACTGCGAAATCCTACCAGCGCCCGGGTTATACCTTCGAAGATGGTGGGCCCCAATGGTCGAACAAGCACCTCTCCGGCATCCATTGGTAACTTATTGACCCGCCACTTCGTTAGTGCTGGCTTACAGGTTGACCCCGATGCTCCTATTCCCACTATTTCCTCTCTACCTCCACCAGCAACTACATTGCACTCCCTGATCATCACCTCATCGACTGTTCACAAGTATATTGCAAGACTGCCTCTGAACAAATCCCCCGGAGCTGATAGGATCACCAATGAGATCCTCAGGAAACTGAGCTACTGAATTGCCCGCCCACTCTCCATTCTTTTTAACCTTTCCCTCTCCTCCGGCACATTCCCGTCACGATGGAAGTCAGCCACTGTCATTCCAGTGTACAAAAATAAAGGCGACAAGAACAACCCGTCTAATTACCGACCAATCTCCCTCCTGTCCTGCGTCTCCAAACTGCTAGAGAGAATAGTGTACGACCGCTTGTACGACCATATCTCCCCTCTTCTTCACCCCGCACAATCTGGCTTCCGTCGTAAGGACAACACATCCCTGCAATTATCCCGCATAATCCAAGACCTCTGCTCCCTAAAAGACCAGCGGCAGGTCTCCTGCATCTGTTTCTTCGACCTCTCCAAGGCCTTCGACACCGTGTGGCACAAGGGCCTGATCGCCAAACTTCGTGCCCATGGTGTCTCCGGCTCCCTACTCGCCTGGATAACTAGCTACCTCTTGGACCGAAATCAGTGCGTCACAGTAAATGGAACCTTATCTGACCCCGAGTCTGTGACATCCGGAGTGCCCCAGGGCTCCATTTTAGGTCCCCTGCTCTTCCTCACATACGTTAATGACCTCCCCTATTCAATTCCCAATATTTCTTTGTTTGCAGATGATACCACTGTCCTTGCTTCCTCCCCATCTCACGCCACCCTGTACCCCAAAGTTCAGACCTGTATCAACGACATTGTTCACTGGATGAGCACTTGGTACCTTAAGCCAAATGTGACCAAAACCGAGCTCCTCCTGTTTCCCCCTCCCACAGATCCAGTGCCCATCTTCCACTTTCCCGATGATCCCGGTCACCCTATCTCTGTAGCGCCCCACCATAAACACCTTGGCATTGTCATAGATTCCGCCCTCTCCTGGTCTCACCATGCTGATCATGTGTCGTCCAAAGTATGCCGATCTGTCGGCATAATGTCAAGTGACTTGTCCCATTTGCCCAAAAATTGCCGGATTAATTTTTATAAATCATACATTCTTCCCCTCTTCACGTACGGCTTCCCTGCCTGGTCCACCATTAACAAAACCCACATAGGTAAATTAGAAGTTCTCCATCGCCGTATACTGCGAATCATATTCCGTACTGATCGTTATACCTCAAATCTAGACTTGTATGCTGCTGCATCCACTACCACTCTGCAACATTACCTTGATGCTTCCAAGTGCACCCTGGCGCATTCAATTTTCCTTGACCAGCACCCTGCTCATTTACAGTCCCTTAATTGGTTCAATTCAGGTGGCACCACCCGAAGCTGCGTTCGTCTCCCCCTAGCTAGGTCTACCCTATTCGTAAATTCCCCTTTCTTTTCCTCCTACTCCACGTGGCTCCAACTGCCTCCCAGTGTTAGACAAGCTCCAGATATGCCCAAATTCCGTACCCTCGTCAGACAGCACTTCAGTATCTCCCAGTAAACAAAGTCACAGTCACCACTTCCGCTGCATAGCTCGCTGAGCATCCCATTGCTTTGTAAGTTGCTAATCCCTTCCCACTTTGTGTACGTGCTCTTAATTTTCTTTTTTTCTCTTCTTCCGTGGTTGGTCTCACCCTCTCCTCAATTCAATTGGCTGTCTTGACATGCCACGAGGTGCAGAAATAAATAAATAAATAAATAAGTGGAAGCGTGTTGCCCAGCAGCATAGTGAAAATAATGAGAGAGAGAGAGAGCGAGAGAGAGAGAGAGAGAGAGAGAGAGAGAGAGAGAGAGAGAGAGAGAGAGAGAGAGAGAGAGAGAGAGAGAGAGAGAGAGAGAGAGAGGAGAGAACTTAGTGGTAGAGCAGCAAGTCTCTCAAGCTTATATATATTTTACAAGCAAACACATCCACTTGGAGTCAGTGAAAACCATACTTTTTTTGCTCAATTTACTAGGATACTTGCGCAAGCATGCTACAACTATGAAAAGTAGCGGGCAATGAATAACGCTACAGCACTAAGGCAGCTCACGGAGAGTGATCAACAAGGCACATGCCGATGAGCGTAATATCCCAAGCTGCAGACAGCAAGCTGTTTCGGCCATCTAGCCCTCATCAGTACAGCTAGCAGCTGTAGGTAAGTCGAACTTAGGGACCATGATGCAAGTAATTTGTCTGGATAAATAGGTCGCATGAGTAACATTTTCCCATGAGCATTTTCAGAATATAATTGCGTCCTGAATCCAAATGCCACTTTACTGGCTCCGACTTTATATAGGTATTGGTGCGCTGACGAGTCCACAAAGGACAAAACAGTTCTGTCCGCAGATTGAGTATTTCGCTCCTGCTCTTGTAGCAGTTGAGCACTCTTGCGTGGGGTAGTAGTGCCTTTGCTGTTTGCGTTATGCAGAGCTCATTGACTTGTCAGTTTGAGCACTCTGGCAAGGTACGTTCGGGCCTGATTGGAAATTTTTATTTCCATTGCTATCAGGTTCGGCCTCATTTCCTCTGTGCTGCACTGACGAGTCCACAAAGGACGAAACAGTTCTGTCCGCAGATTGAGTATAGGTATGGGTATACTGACCGTCAGCTAATGTGCTGTACTGGCACGTATCGCCATAGTAACCAGTAACGCAGCTGCACACAATAGTCCCTGCCAGCGCTCCCGCAGTACATATTCCGTGCGCGCTGCAAGCGAACAGGTCACTGCAGCCTGCACCAATCACACGCATGCACCGACACGCACACACACACACACACACGCACGCACACACACACACACACAAACACATTTCAGAGAAACAGTAGATGTAGCGCATTCTCTGTTGCGTGCACTCAAAGGATATTTTGGATGGCTTTTTCCATGCGTTCCTGGCGGAATATTGTGTACACACTTGGTTGAGCTCCACATTGTTGTACATGTGACTGCAAATCCCGGAGGTCGATTTATTTGTAACCCCACTTTCCCAAGATTTGAAATGAATTTACCATTGAACTGTGCAATGGCTGACTCACTCCAAACGCTAGGCTCACACCCTGCACATGTGCCCACATGAACGCTAACAGGCGTACAAGTATGCGCCGCTACCATGGCTACGGTGGTAAGGACTGTATGCCCTAAAGCATGAACACCTGCATGATCGTGCATCAAAGTGCTGTGGATCAAACTTTCATCTCTGGATCAAGCGGAATCTCAGCGTATCAGGACAGTTTCCGCCGCGCCAAGGGCGTCTGGTTAGGTCACGTTTTACTGAATATGTAAAACCATGCAATACTGTACACACACCTCTAACACACTCCAAGTTTTTTTTCGCTTTGTACACGTGCACTGTACACTGTATTGTGCCGTGCAGTCGTCATTCAATGTTTTTTTTTTGTTTTTTTTACAAGATAACCACAAACCATCATGGTCCAAACGCCGGCAAAAACGCACAGAGATGCACATAGCGATGGCAGCCGAAGCAGTGGAGGCGGGGCAAGATTCTCTATTCTCCCTTTGTAGTATAATTATAGTGTTTGTCTCTGTATTGTCTCTCTTCGTCCTGTCTCTCTCTCATCTCTATTATATGCGCCTGCTCGTTGTAAAATGAATCAGTCCTTGTCTTGTCCTCGAGTCCCAATGGACGCCTAGCCTAGCCTCCGTGGCTTGCAGGCCAAACATAACATTAACTAGTCATGGTGGCAGCGGTAGGATTCGAACCCACGCCTCCGGAGAGACACGCCTTATGTGTTTCCAGCGAGAGTCCAAATAGGTGCACTTCAAATCATTCGTACCTGCGCGCTTGGCTAGACGGATTTGAATAATATTTACAAAAATGATTTCCTAAATTGTTGGGTTCAGGAGTATCGAATGACATCGAGCCAGTGGAACAAGTTTTCGAATTGCTGGAAGGAGCTGACTTCATGTTCTTCATTATCACAAAACGGTATAGTGTGTCTTACTTTGTATTTGTATTTATGGATTCTCCACAGGCCTTGGCCTAAATCGAGTGACTTTCACTTGACAAGGTACTTACTGGCACCACGCGATGCACTTGGTAGTGAGAACAGCAAGAGAAGGGTAGAAATTAGAGAAAGCGAATGCTGACACTCCATCCTTTGGGCATAGGTAACAAAGCGGTCTGCAACCTGGATAGACGCGAAATGCTCGGCAAATCCCAGAACTATTGAAACAAAGTTGCAATCCAGGTCACTACTAGTACTACTAGCCAGGGTTCGACACGCCGGAGAGCTCAAGGAAAGAAAATTTACCAGTGCACCAGCTAACGCGACCGTGCAGCAAACGGCCGACAACGGAATTGGAATGAGAATAACAACAGTTCGCCCTATATATGTGAGTATCAATGTGCTCAAGTCAAGATGCAATGAATGCATGAAAAGGATTATGTTCCTCCTGACGGAAAGCCGGCTCAGGTTTCCTGACGAAAAATGTTAGCGATCTAACACGTTAGTTCACAGTGTACCTGTGCGGCTGTGGAGTGTGGTACATGTACTTCGACGAGCTGAGTGTAGACAGAGACAGGCAAGCATGCTTCGGCAGTGCATGTTCGTAATACATCGTACAGTTGCAAAAAAATGAGAAACAGGAAATCAACACCATTTTCACGTCTTCCTTCTAGATCCTATGCCTAGCCTATGAATGGCCTACTCGACTTCGCCTGTCATGGTACTACAACTGTCTACGCCGGACTGCAAATATTACTTGCTTATCAACAAGCCCCAAACAGCGCCGCACCATGTGGCACGATCCCAAAGACCCAAGAGACATTCAAATGCACTCGCAAGTACATCTACTACTGGTTTACATGGTCTGTCTACTCCTACGTTGACGGTTGAGTCTACACACAGGCCAACCACAAAAGTTAGAGTTGACATGTTCATCATGTAATTGTTCATTGCACGAAATAATTAATTCGCCAAGTACGGTCAGAATGAAGTACGGTCGGTGCGAATCAGCGAAATCCGCCACTTCGCGGTCCACTGACAGTCAGTTCACAGCTACAGCCTACAGGTCTACATAGGCCAGGGCCGGCCGTGCTAACTGAACGCGTTCTTGACACACGCGATCGGATTTCAATGAGCAGCACAGACAGTACAGTCACGTGCATGGTAAATCTACACCCGCGCCGTGCACTGCAGTTCACAGTCTCTGTAGATCCTCCTTCTTGACTACCAGTAATGGCAGTATCCGGAGTCCTGTACTACGGGTATCTATTAAAGCGCTCTTTCGAAAGTCCGTACATCTAGCAGAGTTTTACGGATGCAGCTGAGGCATGCATTCCACCTTGACAGCGACATGTCGGACCGTGACATTATGCATACTACTTGTTCAAGTTCTTGACTGGAAAAGTGCTAATTAGAGAGGTTTCGACCCGCGTGATTTGTGCTCTGACGTGAACGTCAATTTTTTGCGTCGACGCGAGCTCAGAAAGAGCTTTCGTTTCACGTTGCTTGTGAATCACGTCGTGTCGCTGACGACAGGAGCGAAAACTGGGAGCGAAAACTTCAAAAAGTGAAAAAAGTGATATTTGGTGAGGCCAAAGTCGCACAAATATTATTTATAGCTAGTTTAGGCAAAATCGACAAATCGAGTCAATAATCCCAACCTGATAGCAAGGCTAAATTTGCAAAAACTCGCGTTCACGTCGAACGTGAGTTGACCTCAGCTCACGTCCCGAACGGGAGTTTCGACGCCAAAATTTGCCACACCGACGTGAAATTTCACGGTGTAGTGCAGAACAACGTGAAGCGAAACCTCTCTATTGTGACGCAAACCTGTGCGTCATCCTTCAAGTATTTTTAGCCTAGGGCAGACATTATGAACATCAGTCATCAGGCTTGCTTTGCAGCCCCTACTCTCCCTGCTGTTTGTTATTGTATACTCTGTCGTCTTCTCCCCTTCTGACGAGTAGTAAGACGTGTACTTAGTGTTGTTGTTTTTTTAATCGCCTGAGTTACAGGTACATGTAAAAGCACCCATGTGTGCAGGACACAGCAAGTCAGTGAAACTATGCCAGCGCATAGTGATGTATATTCCGTTCTTTTATGGATAGCATCACGAGCATTGCGCTCAAGTACATGTACATGGTCAAGTGCTGTCTGTGAAAGAGCCATGTGTGTGTGTGTGTGTGTGTGTGTGTGTGTGTGTGTGTATGTGTGTGTGTGTGTGTGTGTGTGTGTGTGTGTGTGTGTGCATGTGTGTGTGTGTCTGTGTGTGTGTGTGTCCGTCAGCTTTGCAAGCTGTTGAATGGTGTAATCCCAGCACAAGTAACACGTTCGTTGCCATGTCTGACATAGCTTGATCGCTATCATCGCTTCAGCAATGGGCAGGAGTATGAATATGAGTGTATGCCCAATGGCTTTCGAACTGTTCATTCCATGCATGTTATTCTGATATATCAGCGTTTCAAAAGTCTTCTTAACTTACGTTCAGCCAGGTTTTATTTATTTATTTATTTATTTATTTATTCAACATCTCCTGGCCCGTCCGAAGACTGCCAATAAACATGAGAGGTCAGGTGATAGCCAACCACGGCAAGCTAAAAGGGAAAAAAAGAAAGATGCTGTCAGAGAGGGAAAGGAGATAGGGAGAGAAAAAGAAAGGGAGGCACATTAATAATACATGGGATCACTTCGGATGAGACAGTGTGGAAAGCTGGACTGTGAATTTCCTGATATCCTGGCATGTCTTAATGCTAGTAGGCAGGTTAGACCAAAGGGAGTATGCTGAGAAGAAAGGGGATTTCAAAAACAGAGAGGAACTAGCTCGGGGCAGTGATAAGGCATTGCGTGTTGGTCTAGTGGTAACAAACCAGTTGTACTTGGCAATATGTTTCGGGACTTGGGCTAGGAAGATTTTTTGCACAAGGATACAAAGATGCTGCTGATGTCGGGCAAGAAGAGGGTGCGTGGAAGCAAGTTTATAAAGACAAAGGGAGGCAAATGTTTGGTCTTTTCGAAACAGAATTTTCAGAAGCAAGCGTTGATGTACCTCCAGTCTGTGGAGTAAAGTCTGAGACAACCCGCACCAAGCTATATCGCAATAGTCAAATATAGGCAAAATGTACGACTTAAAGAACAATTTTCTGCAGTTATCATTCAAGTGTTGGCAGTGGGGTTGTAGCATACCTAAGGACGCACTCGCACGCTTGCACACAGACTGGACTTGTGGAGACCAGGAGAGTTGGCGGTCGAGAATAACGCCCAGGTGCTTGTGCTCGTTAACAACTTTAATAGGTGTACTATTTAGACCAGGAAAATACAGAAGTTGAGTGGGGGGCGAGGGAGAGAAGAACATGGCCTCGGTTTTGGCGAGGTTAGGCTTCAGTTTCCAGGTTTCCATCCATGTTACTGTAGCGTTGACCCCGGACTGCATGGAGGCCGTGAGGTTGTCTGCCGAGCTGTCGGAGCACATCAGAGCAGTGTCGTCAGCAAAAAGACTTACATTTGGTACAAGGGCTGGCAAGTCATTAACGTACAGTAGAAATAGGAGCGGCCCAAGTATGGACCCCTGGGGTACCCCAGACACGACTAGTAATGGGTCTGATAGGGAGGTAGATACTCTGACAGTCTGGTGGCGGCAGGAAAGATAGGATGAGAGCCATTGCAGGGCTGGACCGTGTACCAAGAAGACGGACTCTAGCTTTGCAAGCAGACCACGATGCCAGACGGTGTCGAAAGCTTTCGCTAGGTCAAAGAACACGATGCCAACATGCCGCCTGAGGTTCCGCTGGGTGTAGATGTCTTGTACTAGACGTGTTAGTTGGAAAGTTGTGGAGTCTCCACGGCAGAAACCGGATTGAGATGGTGAAAGCGCTGGGGTGACGTGGCAGTACAGAGACTCAAAGAAAATACGTTCACAGACCTTGGACACAGCGGGAAGGAGAGAGATTGGTCTGTAGTTGCCAGCCTGAGAGCGTTGGCCTTTCTTATAGATCGGGACGATAACAGCAGATTTCCAGACGGACGGAAATACTCCTGTACGATATGACATGTTAAAGAGCAGGCACAAGGGATAGGACAGAGATGGCGCAAGCCATTTGAGAACCTCATTGGGTATGCCATCTTCGCCAGGGGACTTACAATTCTTCAGGAGTTTGAGGTGCTTACAGACGGTAGCAGTCGTGGTAACGACGCGTGTGAGTGGTGCGCTAAGTTCAGGGGCTGGGGACAGCGATGGAATGACCCAATTCGGATCTTCCGGAATGCCGGATGAAACAAACTGCTTGTTCAGTGTGTCTGCAATCGCCTTCACATCGTGCTGGCGGTTGCCATGGGAGTCCGTCAGGTACTGGATTGGCGCGCGGGAGGTCCCGCGGCACTGGTTGCGAATGAATTGGTGGAGTGATGGGCGATCGGGGGAGGAGAGTGTTGCAGAAAGAGAGTTTAGAAAGGAGCGGTGTGAGGTACGAGAAAGGTGCTTGACGAAGTTGCGTTGAACTCGGTAAGCCTCCCGGTTAACCGGCGTTGGGAATTTCTTGTAGATGCTGAAAAGATCACGCTTGCGCTTCACTTCAGATACGAGGGACCGTGTCACCCATGGGGGACTAGATGTCGAGGATGTTGGGTTGGAATGTTTCCGGTTGTTGTAGCCGATAGCAAAGTTGGAGAGGTGCTGTTGGAACCCTCGTTCAAGGACGGCTGCAAAGTGATCTACCGCGGCGTCAACAGTTGGAGAGCCTTCTGGTTGCAGAAACGACCAGTCGTGGCAGGAGAAATCAGCGTTCATAGAGTCCCAGCACTGAGAGGGAACTCGACGGAAGCGATATGGGAACGGTTTGCGAGGAGGAAGTGGCAGGTCTGGATCCGAGGGCAATGAGACGGCGAACTGGCATGAAACCATGAGATGGTCCGAGGAGCCAAGAGCGCAAGCTGTGTGAACGTCCGTCGCCAGCAGGGGTTGGTTCGTGAAGACAAGGTCTAGACATGACTGTGTTCCGGAAGATGTTGTGTGCGTTGGACTCTGCACCAGCTGATCCAAACCGAAGCAGGTAAGGGTGCGAAAAAGTGCCGCCCCAGCAGGACACGTTAAATCCGATGGGCACCACCGTTTGTGCTTACTGTTGAAGTCCCCAGCCATTATGACATGGTACGATGACATGGGAACGGTTACCAAAGCACTAGCTAGCATATCACAGAAGTGGTCTATTTCCGTGGTTTTGACTGAGGGCGGACGGTAGGTACAGCAGACGAGGATGGGTGTCGGGGAGCCTAAGATTGGGTGAAGCTCAACCCATACGGATTCACAGGTCGGACGAGCAAGGTCGTCGCGAACTTGGACTCTTCCGAAGCGATTTTGCCGGACAAGAATCGCAACTCCACCATATCCTCTGGTTGCCGTACCGGATTTGTTATCATGAGGTGGTCGGTCGCGACGAAACGTGGTATAACCGGAGATGGTGAGCGCTATGCTTGGATTTAGCCATGTTTCATTTAGACAGATGACATCAGGTTTGTTGA